TTATACAAATCATGATTAGAGAGAAAAAAATTAAACAAAACTTTTCTGAAATGAAAGATAACTTCAGCTCAGTTAACAAGAGAGAATATGGAGTATGTTTCAGCAATTATCCTTAAACGTTGACCTCCAACACCTATTTGTCAAGTTTTAAACTTTTAAAGACAAGATCTTACATTCTGTCTAGAAGAAAGGAGATACAAGAAAGCCTGGAGACCTCATTTTGAAGATCTCTTTAAGATGGGAAAAACTAAGAAGAGAAAGAATTATCAATACAAGAGCAGCATACTCAGACCAATTTCTTTAAAGACAGACTATTTTAAGACACAGAAGGCCTAAAGTAACGTCAGCATAGTCCTGCAGCTGCTAAACTACACGAGACAACAGGGTTTTTGAAAGCATATGGAACGATACTTTCTAAGAGATGAAAGTGTGTGTGTGTAACTGTAATAAAATCTATCACTTAACGGTGTATGTAATCTGATTTAAAAATTCTCTGAGCACAAAGTTCCTTTTTATAAGGTGGGCCTCTGTGTGGAGTTATTTATAAATGCATTTGGGACTTCTTAAGACCTGGGTGAGAAATGGTCAGAACCAAGGAAGTGGAGGAGGCACATGTGCTAGCTCAGGTCCCTGTTTGAGACTCAAAGGTTTACAGATTTATATAAGAATAAAAACATTTATTTAGGATCTGTTATGAATCTAATTATGTCCATATACAAGATGTGTTATAAACCCTAGCCCTAGAATCTGTGGCTGGAGTCCTGGTGTGGTGGTATAGGATAAGCAATGGACTGCTAATTGCAAGGGCAGTAGTTCAAACCCACCAGCTACTCCTTGTGGGAATAGACTCAAGGCACTGAACAACAATACATGTGTGGCTACACAATCCCATTTGAGGACAGGTTTTCTTTGTTATGTTAATAAAAGAGTATTATTGTAAGGTGTGTCTTAAATTAAACTTTGCAATGTCAATGGGCAAGCATGTGAGCAAGCAGCGAAAGGGGGAGAGAGACCCCATGCTCCATGAAGATTACAACAGCTGAAAGACAAGGGCCTTCTCCCTGAGCCAACAGAGAAAGCCTCTCCCTAGATTTGGTGGCCTGAATTCAGACATAAGAAAACAAACTTGTTAAAGTTACCCTCTTGTGGTAATTCTATTATAGCAGCATTGGATAGCTAAAACAGAATCTGATAATAGAAGTGAGGCACTATTCTAAGTTGTTGTTGTTAAGTGCCATCATGTTGGTTCCAACTCATAGCGACCTGCATAGGGTTTCCCAAGAGCAGCTAGTGAATTTGAACTGCCTACCTTGTGGTTTAAACCCACCTTGCAGTACAGGATACCTAAAATGTGGAAGTGGTTTTGCAATTGGGTAATGAGTGGAAAGGAACCCTGGTAGTATAGTGGGTTATGAGTTGTACTGCTAACCACAGGGTGAGCAGTTTGAATCTACCAGCCACTCCACCAGAAAAAGATGAGGTTTTTCTGCTCCTGAGAAGATTTACAGCTTTGGAAACCCTATAGAGGATTGCTATGAGTTGGAACTGACTCAACAGCACACAACTACCACCACCATCAATAGGTTATTATTTGTTATTGTTATTAAGTGCCGTCAAGTCGGTAGGGTTTTAGGATGCTTAATACATTATCTTGAAGAGACTGTTGATAGAATTGTCAACATCAAAGACAATTCTGCTGAGAGCTCAGAAGAAAGTGAGGAGAGTCCTAGAGAAAGCCTCTACTGTCTTAGAGACTAGATATGGCACCAGAATGTTACGAGACACATTGACTTTAACATGCTTCAAGTGAGGCTTTAAAAGAAAATGTGCTTAATAGTAGAAGAAGGGTGATTCTTCTTTGCAGGAACAAAGAATGTGGCTGAATTATGTAAAATGTTTGGTTGAAGGTAGAATTTGTAAGTAATGAACTTGGATATTTCACAGAGGAAATTTCTAAGCAAGATCTCAAAGGGTTCGTGTGGTTTCTACTTGCTAAGTATAGGATCTAGACTCAAAATTGAACTGTGTAAAATAAAAACAAAATTTTAAAATATTTGGAAAATTCTGTTGTATAAATTATGGACATATTTTCTAGAATTTTCACTAAGAACAAGGCTACACAATCTTTTGTTAAAAAGATTAAGCTGGTAGCTGATGGCTCCAGCCAACAACCACAGCACAAAATCCATCAGCTTAGACTGAAGAGGTCAAAGAAAGAACAAAAGGAAAGAAAGCTGTCTGCCTTTTAGAAGTCTACAGGCTGATGTAGGTCAAAGGATCTACATCTGTTGTCCTCCAAGAAAAGAAAAGGACCATCCCTGGAGTAGCCCAGAGGTCAGCAGGACTATTAGAAGGCAAAAAAGAAACAGGGTTACCTCCGTTTCAAAGGGTGGGATCCTGGCCTCCTAGATTTCAAAGAGTCAGACATCCACCAACTGAGCTCTGGAGTGTGGGGCTATCATGTCCAAACACAAAGAGGACTGTGGGGTTGTGGCCCAAATCTGAGGAGTTGGGGCTGACATGCCCAAGGGGTAGGAGAACAGACACCTTTAGGACCAAGAGGGTGGGACTCCCACTCAAGTGAGATAGGAGAATGACCTAAAGCCAAGGGAGCAGAGGGCCATTCTAGTGGGCTGGAAGACAGGGTTAGAGGCCAGAACTGAGTGGACTCCACCCAGAATCCAGAGAACATGGCCAAAGCCCAGAGTTCGGAGGGCAATGCCAAATACCCAGATGGTCTCAGAGAACAAAGGATTCTTTTCAAGCCTTGAGAGCTAATGTAGTTTTTTCTGCTGGGTTTTGACCTTTCTTGCTGTCCATTATCCCTTATTTCCCTCCAATTTCTTGTTTGTAATGGAAATGTCTAACTTGTGCTATGAGTCAGAATCAATTCGATAGCACTAACAACAACCAAGTGTTTTATAATAGACTGCATGAAAATACCAACATACAATTAACAAAATACAAAATACTATGTGGGCATTCTAGAATAGATAAGAAGCTAGTTTGTACCAGGAAGGATTAAGCCTACAGTCTCACTTGATTAAGATATTTCAGAAGATGATTCTTGGACTTGAGTTAAGACTTTGGGATGATGTGATGGGGTGAATGTGTTTTACAGGTAGAGAGCATGTACATTTTTTTATGGGGGAAAGGTGATATGTATGGATTGAATTGTGTCCCTTAAAAATGTGTTAAAATTCACCGTGAAATGGTCATCCATTCAAGATCAAAAGAGCAATGTTTGCTTAAGTTCAGAGAGTAGCTGTTGTTAACATGGATAGGATTGCAAATCACTGAGATGAAACAAAGTGTAGGATTTGTTAAATGTAAAACTTAGTATCTGCTCTTTTAAACCTTCACTCAATTCACAATAAATAGACTTTTAAAAGTGTGGTAATAATCTCATTTGGGAATGGGTTTTCTTTGTTATGTTAACTAGGCAGTATCAGTGCAGGATGTGTCTTCTGTCAACCTCTTTTGAGACAGAACCTTTAACATGTTCTTGCTTGCAGAGATGGGGGAAGACAGACCCCACACAACATGAAAATCACACAGCTGCCAAGAATAGAAGCTGAAGAGACAAGGACTTTCCCTTGCAGACAACAGGTAGAAAGAAAACTTTCTCCTACAACCAGCACCCTGAACTCAGACTTTCAAGCCTCCTGAACAGGAAGTGTGGAGTCCTGGTGTGGCTCTGTAGGATAAGTACTGGACCACAAGTTCAGTTTGAACCACAAGGTTGATGATTCAAACCTACCAGCCGCTCCATGGAAACCCTAAACAGGGTCACTACGAATTGGAACCAACACGACTGACTATACTTAACAACAACAACAAAACAGTGAGTGTAGTATTTCTGCTCTAGCAGAATAGATAACTAACATGGCACCTCTGCTTGGAGCTGCCATGTTTTACTAGGTACATGATGACTTATTTTAACTGGAATATAAAATAAATACCATTATTTTATATAAAATCATCTAATGTCAATGAAAATATTTTAAACTTAGAAGTACATCTTAAATCCCAACTCAAATGAAAAATAAAATAGCTCATTTATTTAAATTTAAGAAAATATTCATGCAAAATGAGATTTGCTTTTGGGCTAGCTTAAAAAATTCATCATAAAAACATTATTTTAGTCATATCCAAGAATTCCCACATATTATTTGTGTTTCATTGATTATATAGTGGTATTTTCACACAACCTATTCTAAAACTCCTTGTTGTTAAGTGCCATAGAATTGATTCCAACTCACAGTGACCCTATATAGGTTTTCAGAAGATTGCAATCTTGTGGTTAGCAGTCCAGTGCTTATCCTACAGTGCCTCACCAGGATTCCATTAATTCTCAGGATATTCTGATATTTCTGACTTGAATTTAAGGTTTCTAAAATTGAAACAGATTAAAACAAAAGTGAAGAATATTTAAAGCCCAAAATACTGGCTCTCAAATCAAGACAACAAAAGTGGCGAAAAATAAAAAATGATTAATTACAACAAGAGTTACTCTCCACTTTGTTCTTCATCTGAAGCCTTCTTTTTGATGTGGGATGTGGAGATCCAAGTGGCAGTTGTGAGAAGGAAATGTCCTCCTCATGGTCTTAATGCTTAGTAGGAACTCCAAGTCTCGGACCACATTCTCCTGACTCCCACCAGCCTCTGAGCAAAATCCTTCCCCATTCCATCTTTCTATTGCATCACTTACCATTGAAAGAGCCTTACTCAAGGCCTTCAACTTGTTAATACCTTTTAGGAGGCTTCCTTTCTCTCTCAAAAAAGTCACACTGTTCAAGGGGAGAGATTTCTGAATACTCTTATCCCTAGTATTTCAGATGCTGAAGTTTTTTAGCAAAGAAGATCAGATTAATTAAGTGTACTGTACTTCACACGCTGAAGTGATAACACTCTTGCTCTCAGAAGCCACACACACCACTATACAGGGTTGTCTGTGAACTGTGTGGGTAAATAAAACATCAGAAAATCGCGTTCTTTACCTGAGTAGGGCTATGAAGACTTAAATCTAAACCACAAGTAAATTCTGTATGGTGTTCTACTGTTTCAAGAAGAAGATCAGGCTTTGAAAAGTTCCAGAATCTGTGAATATAAGCAAAAAGCAATAATTTGTTACTAAAATGACTTTAAAAAAATAATAAATTTTTTTTTAAAAGAGAGACTTGGCATAGCAAAGATTAATATCTCAACCAATTCATAAATGCACACTCCACCACTGGTGTACATTT